ACGAGATAAGTTTATGGACATATAAATTATTCAGAAACGCCTGATTAAAATCTTTCACTTTTCATTTTTTTAATTGTCAGATTAAATCAAGAGCGAAAGTATTTTAAAGTTTAAAAAAAAATTTTAACCTCCCTACTTTTTTTTCTTCCCCCCTTCATATTCATATAATCAAATTCAAAACATTTCAGAAATTTGTTAAAACACTTTTATCATTTTCATCTAACGATTGCATGAATACAAATATACAAATCTCTTATAATTTAATCTCGAATAAAAATTCTCGTTTCAAATTTAAATTTGAATTATCGAGCAAATAAAACTTGGAAGATAATCGAATATTTTCATTGTATGTATATATGAATATTATATATACGTACACAAAATTTAAACATCCTCTCTTTCGTTTTAATTACTCTTTTATACACACAGAATTAATTTTCCCTTGTGCGAAAGTCGATCGATTCCGATGATAAACTAATTGATAACACATTGTTATTGTTCTTAATTAAAATATGAATATTAATGTCTTACTCAACGGCTTGCATTATCGTGCACAACGTTCAAGTGTCACCGTTATTTTACCGCAGTTTGTAACTTGCCACGGAATGCCCTCATTATTTTAATGATAATTATACGTTAAATGAGAATTGATTGCAGTCAACCGTGCACCAATGGAAGTAAATTTATCGAATAGTGCTAATAATTATAGTGGTATACAGATTCAAATCGATAGTTTCTGACTGTGTAATTTTCTGTTTCATCGTTTAACGAAATCACTTTCTTCCATTTCCTATTATATAATATTCAAATAAATATATATGCATACTACATAATATTAATAACATTAATTTTAATTTTAAAGAATTTAGCGAAGAAATTTAACGAAGATTGAAGATAATGAAATATGATTTTACATTCAAATTTTATTTTAAAAAATTTTTGTATTTTTTTTTTTTAGTTCGAGTAATAACTTTTACTAGTAGTTTTCAGAGGATAGTTTCAGAGATCCTTCCATTTACTCGTTCTATATAAATTCAATATCGTTTGTGTGCTCTGCCAAGTTAATATTAACAATTAACGTTAGAACTCGTATACTCTGTAAGTTTAATCACATCTGCGAAAATCAAGAACGTTTTAGTGTAAAGTTTTGCACGATATCGAGTTGGGGAATTGGATTAAGCGTGAGCTAATAGGTGCTCAAGTATCTATAATAAATAACTAAAGTGGATTTTAACTTAATGATAAATTAACGTTTTATAAGTGTAGATAACTTGAAAAATGATTTTGTCATTTCAAATTTATAATTATAAATTCATTAATTTGCGTTTAATAATTTATGATCGAATTTATTAATAAAAATTACTAGAAATAGGGTAGGTACATTCTTCAACATTTATTAATTAAAATTTGTTATTTTTTAAACTATTTACATTTCCGTTACTTGACATTAAATTCATACAATTTTAAAATTTTATTATTAAAAATTATTCGAAATTGATTTAGAATTTAGTTATTATTTGTTACTAGTCTTTGTTACTAGCTAGATACTTACAAAATTTACTACATAAGATTTATAAATCTTTTCATTAAAAGATTTCTTATAATCGAATTGAATAGTCATTATAATCGATTTATTTATTCTATTATTTCCAACAATTTTTCTATTAGAAAATTATTTTAATTTTATTTTATTACTAAAATACTAAATTTTTATTATTACTAAAATTACTAAAATTTTATTACTAAAAAATTTCTAGAAAATTTTGAATATCATATTCATTGGAATAAAACGAGAAAAGGAGAGAAAAGAAAAAAGAAGAAAGAGAGATTACAAGCGATAGAAACCTAGTTTACATAATCGTATTAGCACGCGTTGCGCGTTGCATTAATTATGCGCGGCAAGTCCTTCGGATTACCGAGGTTTTCTTGGTTAAACGAACGCCTTGTTGAACGTCGATCAGCTATTTAGTAATAGCTGGAACGATCCATCGTGGATTGGCCGCGGACCAAATTCTCATGGACAGTCACGAACAGATATGACCGGACGCGAATTTATTATTCCATTCGCGACAGTTTGATATATGGCATAGGAAATCGAATTAAACCAGTGTATCTTGGTTTCGCAAGTATCTAGGAAAATATCCCTAGCGTAGATTGTGGTAACTTACAGTGAAGGAATAAAAGATTGTTCTACGGACATCATAATTTAGTATGTTATCGTAAATATATTCGAGATAACTTGAACTAGTTCACGTAGATTTGGAAAGGATCTTTATGGCCTATGTTTTCGAGAATCAATTTCTTTTTCATGTATCTTTGAAATTATGGTTATAGATAAGGAATAAGTAGATAGGAGTTTTATATATATTTATTATAGGTTAGGAATTTCGAACCATGGTCATGTCAAATCTTATTTCAAAATTTATTTCAATTTTATTATTGATTAAAGATTAATATTATAATATATGTCAATAGTAATTGAATTTACATCGATAGATTGTTTCACAAAGAAATTTTTCGTGGTAGTAAAATTCTAACCTAAATTTTGATTAATGCTTATATGAATTCTTGAACAGAAAAATAAAATCAATCTGAAATTGAATTTCATTCATTTTTATTAATTTTTTCACTTCACGGTTACTGAAGTTTCCGGTGAACGAGCAACCTATTTAACAGGTCAAACGAAACCATTTCTCGATCATCCTTTCAATATTCGTGCACATATCGTTCACGATCAACGCGTTGCACGAATAGTACCCGAATAAGCTGCTTTCCATTTATAAATCCAGAATATTAGCAGCATATTTCGATGATGAGGTTGGGTTATATAATCTATAAATCATCCGACTAGGAAATTCTATTCTATTTGTCTAGTATGCACGTGGAAACATTACTTAAGAAATACAATAAGAAATACAATATTCATTCCGATTAATTCGTATAATTAACAATAAAAATGATCAATTTTCATTTAATATCGATTTTCATTATTAAAATTATATACACCACTCTCGAAATTGTATTTATTCACGTTACTTAAGAGATAATTGCTTCTAGCATTTATAAAGGTTATGTTGTGGGTTTGTTAACGTATACTGTTTATGCTGTATCTACACTGGAACACTAAGGCTGTTCGCGATCTCTCATATATTACTTCTGTTTCATTTACGAACAGTTTTAACCAACATAGATGCAAAATTCGTTGAAATATTATCTGCATTGTATTTTATTGTGAACATAAAATTAAAAAAATTATTCATTTTAATCTTTTGCATAAATCTATCCACTTTCATTGTTAGTAATTCTCAGTTAATACAAATAAATTTTCATTCTAAATTTTTTAAACTGGCAAGCAAATGTTTAACCACGTTTACACTTTTTTTCCATGCTCCCTTCCTATAGATGTACTCAACGTGTCGTGACTACGTAACAAGTTCCATTAAGAGCATCCTCGAAAGATTTCGAGATCTGTCTAGTCGAAACGGTCCATGAATTTACGAATTCTGCCAAGTTCTGCTACGTGGACGGCGTAATGAGTACACTTTTTATTGCTTCGAGGATTCTTCTTCTGTTTCGAAGGCCTATCACGGAGTTTGGTAATCGTCCCTGCAGCGGTACCTGGATGTCTCGAGATACGAAATCCAGGTCGCCCTATTTTGCAATTGGCAATCGGCCTGATCCGCTAACGTGGAGTCTGCCAGATAGTTCCAGTTGTCGAACGCTGCCAGGTCGTGCTGTGTCTATCGGTTCTCGGATCGCGCTATATATATATCGTAATTTTAATCGCAAAAAAATTCTATGTTATAACAGAAAAATTTATTGATCGTTAATCATTATTATCGATCAATATATGGAAAATATTTTTTGATTAATTTTTTGGTAATTTGTTAAAAATGAAATTTATTTTTGATTATTTATTTTTTGGTTTACTGATCAATTTTATCGATGATAAACAATTTTTTTTTATTATTGATAAAGTTTTACGTAACGAATATATAATATCATTTTTTTTGTTTCTCATTTTTATATTTTTGTAACATAATCTAATATTTTTTATTTATTAAGGTATTTATATATCATGTTTTACGTCATTTATAGATATTAATTATCAGTGACAGTAATAAAAATTGACGAGATTTGAAAAAAATGAATTTATATTACAATAATGGTTACCTATTGTTAAAAAATATTTTATTATTTTTAATGTTATCAGAAACCAAAGAAAAATTATTCCAAAACAATTTAAATTTTACTTTTTCCTTTAAAATTTAATAATCATAATCCTCCATAGAAATTAACATTTTCTCCATTCATTCTATTCATAAAATTTTTTTGTTTTTGTTCAATTCCTTTTTTTTTTTTCTTTCTTTATTTTTCTCTTCGAATTTTCGTTCTCACTCGTATTTTTCGTATTTTTCGAATGTAAGGTTAATTATCCTTACGAACGAAATTTATCAGAATCTAAAAAAAAGTTGGATGAGACGAGAAAAAGAATTGATTCACGTTACAAGAGTGAAGTTGGAGAGAGAGTTTCGTTTTGAGGATGAATAGAGAAGTTGTCCAAATTCCGGAAGTCGATGTCGTTCGAAATCTGTTCGAAAGTGTTCACGCGGAAGTGACATTCTTTTTGTCCTTTGTAGACTATCGCGATGTAAACTTGAGTTTCAATTGATTTCGTAAAATTATGTCATAAAAACGAGGATTTATTGTCTTGCAGTAAAAAGAAAAAGATGAATCTTTTCCGAAAATTTTGCAGAAATGTAAAATTCTATGGAAGAGAAATGATTTTAAAATTTATTTAAATAATCTCTTCATCAAATATTGATATATTATCGTTTCGAAGAGATAAATTGAATTTATTCTTTCATTGGATAAAATATAACCACTCGACTTAATTTTAACTTATATATATATATATTTATTATTCATTTTAATTAGAAAAATTGAATTGAACGGAATAAATGAAATTTAATCGACGATATTTTCTTATCATTTTACAGAGAAGAAGTGCGGAGATAACGGTGGACAGTGGAGAGGAGAATGTGTTCGTCCGCATTTCCGGTGAGTGAAACTCTTTCTGTATTAAAAATTTAAACGAACTGATGATTTATTTCCTTTTATTAATTAATACTTCATTTAATAAATTCAGGAATTAAATTGTAAAAAATTCGTTCAGATTGTAGTTAATTTATTAAATACCGTTTTTCTCTTATATGTAAATTTATATATCTATGATATTTTTAAATATATTAATATATCGGATAATATATGGTAATATTATAAATACTATAAATATTATAAATATTAATGTAAAATTATTATATAAATCTTGTTTCTACTTTTTCCTTTTTTTTTAGAATTGCAAATATAAAAAAATTAAAAAATTTTTTAATCTATAAATGTATTGTATATTTATTTCGCGTGATTTAAATGTTTATCACTTTATCAACTTTTTTTTTTATTCTTACATTTTCATGAGAAGAATCGAATATCAATTTGCTATCATATTACATAAAAGTAGATCAGTTATTCGTTTATGCATTTTACATATAATCTAATAAGTTATTAAAAAAATTTATTCGAAAAAAATAAAAAATTTGTATCAGTAATTGCATAATATGGATCCGAATATTGCACGTTTTTTTCGTTAGATATTTTAGTCGAGGAAATAGCGATTCTTGTAACAAATTTTCGAGGTGATTAAAATATAACAATGTGATTTGAATATAAATGAAAAATCATTCCATTGTTCAAAAAATCTAGATAGATAAATTCTTTTTTGGTTTTTCGTCGAAAATTCAATTTTCCTCTTTATGAATAATTTCACAACAGACATTATCGTTATAATAGAATTTTCGAAAATCTTTTTAATTATTAACTAGAATAATATGCGATAATAATAATTATTATAAAATAAAAATAAATTAACAAGAATATTTTGTTAATTCATTTTTACGTAATATACATGTATATACGCGTACATTATATATATGTATATAATATAATATATGTAATATAATCACAATAAATATATTTTTGCAAGATGCATATACGTACACAATAATTTTTTTTTTAAGCATAAAAATTTCTCTCAAAGAAAAACGAGAAAAAGACGAGAGATAAAATACTTAACACATAATAATATGCTTTAATATGCTAATATACTTCAAAAATTTGCATAAATATTACTCTAATTACTATTAAACTTAACGTGTATTCATGTGTATTATTTTTATTTTATAAAACATAAAAACGTAAATCATTAATTTTATTAAATTGAACATATATAGACGTGCAAAAAATTTTAGGTTAGGTTAATGAATAATACAACAAATCACTTCACAATACGATAATTTAATTGGCTGAATCGAACGAAATAGTTGAAAGAATCGAACATAGAATAGCAATGTGAGATCGAATATATATACGTTTGTTTCCTCAAAGTAGAATTCGATTAGAAAAAGTTTACGAACGTAAAAAACGAAATGACGATTGAAGAAGAAACAACGTGTTTTCCACGACGATAAACGGTAATGGCCATCGTGTTTGCCATATTTATCTCGTCTAACTAAACGTTTTCTGTGCGATTTATTGTTTGCCGAACGTGAATGTAATAGATATTTCTTCGATAAGTGTTTAGATAGATTGTTAACCTACGATTTTACGAAGAAACTGTTGTACTGATTACAAGAGGGCGCTGAAGAAGTAACTATCGATAGATTTCGATAATATATGCATGTTATTCGATATATCGATATTATTGCTAAGATCAATAATGGATGAAAATAATGAATTTCTATATTTTCTTATTATTAAAAAGTTGTTGACGATTTTCAAAATATATTCAAAATAATCGATTTATAATTGATTAAGATAATAATAATTGATAAAGATATTAATATAAGTAAGGAAAAATAGAAATTCTATCACTTCTCTTTGTTAACAATATTTTAATGATCGATGCATTAAAAATTAATAATAAGATAATAATTAAATTAATAAGATATCAATAATATATCGATAATCGATAGTCATCTCGCCTCTTAGATTTATATCTATGTATTTCTTTGAGATATTTTGTTAAAGACTTTGTCAACATTATTTATTATATAATTAATTTTAATTATATAATAAAAATAAATAAGTTTAATTATAAGAAAAAAAATAAAAAAAAATAAAATAAAATAAAATTTTTCTTAAATTAGATATTGAATTAAAGATATAAAATAAATTGAATAATATCATGAAATAAAATGCTAAAAATCTTATAGAAAGAGATATAAATTAAATTAAGAGATTAGTAAATTGAATAAACAAATAATTGAAAATTCAGCGTAAAAGGGGAAAACTTTACATTTATGATTAATAATATTAATTCCTCTATACGAACATTTTAATGCTCGAGCTGAGAAACTTCCGCCTCAGCGCGCTAATATTACAGGAAGTTATTGAGTTGCAAAAGAAAATGCATTTCTTACATTTCCTTATGGAGAATGTTGGTGAAGAATTTTTCCTGATCTAATCATTACTGAAGATGTTTCGCTTAATTATTGAATATATTTTGTATGTTCGTTAAAAAAAATATTTTTTTAATGCCTATGTGTGAACATATAGAATTTAAATAAAATTGTATAATAATAAAGTTAAATAATTAGAAGAAAATTTTTTAAAAATATATTTCATGATATTGTAATTATATGTATAGGTTAAAGGAAATTTATTTGATCTTCTTAATAAAAATATTTTTTCCCAAAGATAGAGATTTCTTCCAGTTAACCCAGATGCTCTGTAACATTTATATCAAAGGATTTGGATAGGCTTTTCACTGATCGGATACGATACAAAAGACTTACAGTACTTCAGATACTTATCCTATTGGATAATAAATTAAATTGTATTTCGATCCATTTTGAAGATATTTTTTTTCCATTAACTAAAGAATTTCTCTCAGAATTATATAATTATTATAAAGTTAAAATAAAAAAATATATTTTTTCATCATCACAATGGTAATTTATTACAAGATAAATTTCTTTAATTAATCTGTTATCTGTTATTTTTCATTCTTAATTATCTATTTTGATTTTATAAAAACAAAAAACTTTCATATATTTCTTGTTTCATTGTTCAAAGAGAAAAATTACAAAAAGTTTATAATTGTATTTTATAATTTGTAGTAATTTTTTAAACTTTTAAACTTGTTAAATTTATTATTACACAATTTATTTCTATCTTGCAATATATAATAATATAATTTTTTATACGCTTATCAATCATTCTCCAATCATATTACACACCGATTCATATTCGTTGGATTGCTGCCCAACATTTCAACCCTTTACATTTCAGATTGACAGAGGCATACAGTTTATCTCTTTAGACAAGAAAATCGAATGTCAATCAATATAATAAATTAATGATTAAACAGATATATAAATCAATATCTAAATATTACGTGATAATAAATAAAATCTTTTTACTATTATTATTGAACAAATTGATTAAATTAAAATATCATTATCTTATAATCGTTCTTAATTTTAACTAAACTATTTTTTTAAATGATCAAATATTGATAATTTAAAGCGAATCGAATAAAATTTATTTAATCAACGTACGGTTCGAGAAATATGGATGATCAAATTTATCCGAATGAAAGAGAATTTTAAAAGAGGAAAATGAGAAGAATACGTAAGTCAATTGGTATGATGGTAGAAAATAAACGGGACATGAAAGGAAACGAAGCGATAACCTCGATGGAATTTACGCGTCATAAAGTCTACCGGTTTCTTTGACTGATAACACGTATGGCTGCAATTAGGTTAATTAGATAGCGACAGTGCGTGAACAATGTCCCAACATTCATAGGACATTCTCGTTCTGTTTCTATCCCCGAACACGAATCATTTATTTGAAAATCTTTTTTTAAAGATTTAGAGATTTATTTTCCTCTGTGTTTTAATCTGTCAATTATTTATCATCCATTTTAATTTTTCAATTACTTTTTATAATGTTTACAACAACGAAGTCTCGAGTTTCTCTTGTAGATAAATTTCGTTTTGTAAAATAATTTTTTGTCGATCATATTGCTTTCTTTGTTCGACTCGAAAATTTCCGATAATCTTTGTTGCTTATAGAGAGTAAAGGGACAAATGACTCGCTTTATTGTTACAAGAAAATACACTTTGATTTTTGAGCTTATGTCAATTCACTTTTTTTTTTTTTATTGGGAATGTAAATTTCCAATAATGATTTTTTTTTCATGTTATATGCTTTCATATAAAAATAGATATAAAATAAATCTAAAATAAATCTCTAGTAGATCATTATGTCATAAATAAATTATCATTTGAAGATTTCTTTAATATCTTAATTAATTTGTTCAAGAAGTGAGTAATTTTCAAAGATTAATTTATTCTGAGATTTATTTTCTAATTTTCCTTGAGTTTTTCGATTCCTTTTTTTGATATTCACAAATAATTTGTGATAACGATAACTTCTTTTTGAATTCCATGATTACCATGAATTCCATCATCCATTTTTTATATACATCTTTTTAAATACTTTCTAATTTAATAAAAATTATCTTTATTAAATAATTATGATAATATAATATTACAAATAATATTCTAAATTGAAATATAATTTAATATTTTTTATAATTATCTATTAAGTAAAAAAAAATCTCAATTTGAAAAATCCATCAGTCACAGATTAAAATATTTATCCAAGAATCTTTAAATATATTCACTCATATATTTTTTCATAATTTGATTATGATACGCGTGATCTTCAACTTAACCTAAGCATATTTATATTGATAATAAAAAAAAAAAAGAAAAAAGAAAAAGAAGAACAAAAGATTGCTTCGAGCATTCCATACACACGAAGGCTGGTCCATTTGCATGAAAAGAAAAACCATATATCATACAATCGCATAGCACTGCTCACGTATATGCGCGTCATAATACCGAATAGCACGATGTTGCAATGGATTGTACCCTAGAAATTGTGTAACTGAAATTATTAGCAAGATGTACGCGTTTCAAACTTGTGTTTTGCAACCATGTCAGTTGACAATGCTTTCTAGACGAGCTATTGTTTCGCAAACGTATAATTACTAGGGAAAACTCTTTTTTCTTTCTTTTTTATCGCGAGATAAATATGTTTAACCTCTTCGGTGATCCTAAGAGATTGGTTCTAATTTCTCGAAAATTAGACGTATAAACAATATTACCTTGATTTTTATATTTTGCTTTATTAATATTGTTAAAATTCTGAATTCTGAAAGATTGTTACAATTCTGAATTTATATTCATTTTACATCGATGCTTACCTAGAGAATGTAGAGGTTAGGTAGAGGTAAATTTAATTATTTCGTCGTTTTTGAAAAAGAATAAGCAAAATTTGCACGAAATATAAAGTGATTATGTGATTGATTTTTGAAAATTAAAATCATGTATTTGGTTATAAAAATTATGAAAATTTAGTAGGAAGAAAAGTGTAACACTTACTTTTCCAATACTTTTAAATTTCTCAAGCATGTCCCTTGACAACCATTTCGAATTTAAAATTGAGAAATATGGTTTTCGAGCATTACTTAACTTTATAAGGAAGTAATTTTTCTTTAGAAACAATATAATCAACTAGAAAAATGATAAAAGTTTGGAATTATTTATTTTTATTTCCATATAAATTTCTCTTAATAAAATGTTACTAGAAATTTATATAATTATCTAGAAACGTATCTTTAACCAACCTTCTAGCATAAAGAGTTAAATTAACGTGACCGTGAGAAAGATTAGCCAGAAGTGAAAAATGGATGAATTGACTTTGGAAATTGTAATTATTTAGGAGGGCGGAAAATTGGAAATTTGTTAATTAAGGTTAAGTATCGTATTCTGCGCGAGCAAGTAAAAATTCGCATTAGGTCCTATCCCATCCCATCTTTCTATTATAAATCCTAAAAAAAAAAGTGGAACGAGTAGCAAAAAAATCTCTTAATCTTTTTTAATTAAATTTAATTGTAATAAAGCGTATTTCAAGAATAATTATATATTATTATTTTTAATACGTAATAATTTCATATTTATCAAAACTAATTTTAGTAATTATCTAGAAACTTTTATTTAATAATACCATACACGTTTCGTATGTATTTACATTTACAGTAGTATAGTTACAGAAAACTAACCTATCAGATCGCTAGTTTGTTCAAAACCATAGAATATACATGACACAGTTGTTGTAGTTTACAATCGATCCAATATTAATGCAAATATAATTTTAATTAACGAATTAAATAAAATATCAACAAATTTTAGTTATATTTTTTAATTAAGCATTAGTTTGTTAAAATTATAGTAATTATACATTAATTATATTTATGTAATCGAACAATTCAGAGAGATAACCGTTCGATTATTATTTCCAAAAGAATATTTACACGAACAACGAACATCGCTACGGTATTCTAATAATTTCCGTGTACGCGATATAAATTATTATATTCATGAATATTCATCGAACGTTGAATATTTTTGTTTGCATTCAATCACGATAAACGAGCCATTAATCTTTGCTATTTCTACCGATGCAGTTTTCGGTATTTATAATTTATCGAAGATTCATTGTACGGTCACGCTTTTCGAGCTTTTTTATATTACCATTTTTAATTTTTTATATTATTTTATCCTATTTATATATATCTGAAGTTTTTATTAAAGTAAAATATTTATTTATTCTGTAATTTTATCTTAAATAATTAATTTTTAATATTTGCCATTTCATTTGGTATTTTCATTTGAATGATTTTAATAATAAATATCTTATTTTGAAAAGTAAATAAGTAAACATTGTTTTTCATTTTCTAAAAGATGATGATTTTATTTTATCAATATATTTTAAATGTTTCTTTAAAATTGAAAATGAATTGAGAAATTTTATTAATATTTTACTTCTATTGTAAAAGAAAAGAAAAATGTATATAATCACGTAATAAAACCAATTTCAATCGTCTTTTCCAATTGCTTTCGTAGAAATCAACACAAAAATTGCCAATATTTTTATAAAATTTATTTAAAAATGAAAAATTGCGGTGGTTATAATATTTTTAAAATCTAATTTTAGATTTCACAAGAGAAAAATTTACAGACTTTTCCTTCTAAAATAATTTTCAATTACTTACAACGTTACATTCTAATACTTTCAAAATATTTTCAAAAATTATATTTATTATATTATATGATTGACATGATTGATATTCAATTTTCAAAATTTAATTTTCACCTTTCCTCCCAAGAGGAAAATTCTAAAAATCATCTTTTCTCCAATCGTTTCGTAGAAAACGTCAACACTTCCAAAACTTTCTCAAAAAATGGAAAATTACATTATACACGTGACACGATTAATAATTCGCTTTTCAAAATTTCTAATTTCACTGTTTCACACAAAAATTTACAGAGAACTCTTCCAAAATCTTGTTGAATTCCTTCGATAAAAAAAAAAACGTTACATACTCTATCAAAAAACATTCTCAAAAATTCTTATGCCGACACGATTGATCCAATATTCCAAGTTATTTTCAATAACCCAATCTTCTTTTACGAGAGAAAAATTTAACGAAACATCTCTCGAAAATCCTCTTCCTCGACCGTTTCTTAAAAATTTCTTTTCCATTCCTCTTCGCAGAGAGCGCCGCGCTGCCAACATCCGGCGTGTCGGCCACGTTGGCGGAAGTCCGCGATGAACCAAGGACGGAACCCGCGTTCAGACGTTTGTCAGAGGTCGACCGTATCCTTCTCGAGAGTTTGGATATCGGCCGCTCGAGACCGAGGCCGACCGGTCGATTCCTGACAATGCACAAGAGAAGGCGTAAGAGGCTTACCACGAGATCCTTAACCGAGGAGCCTGGCATCCTGGACGATATTTTCCATGGTCTGGTCCAGGTAAGCTATTGATCGTATAGGATATAAAGCTTACGTGTAAAAAGGAACCTCAGAAATCGTATCTAGATTGTAATGTATATGGCTGATATACTTTATAATATTGTTTCGATATTGTTATCGTGTTATTAAGAAAATATAGGATATATAAATTTTATGGGTGGATATTATAGGAGGGAGAAAAGTTTCAAGGAGAGAGAGAGAGAGAGAGAGAAATATTATACGGTTATTATTTGATCTGGAAGATTTATTATAATATTAATTTTAATAACATATTGTACATTATTTAAAACGTGGCGAGCAAATTTGATAATTTTTAGTGGATTATTTATTTAAACTGTTTTATTCCGTTATTAATAAATGGAAATCGAGAATGATAAATAAATATATATATAATTTATTAATTGTTGATCCGCTGTTATGAATTATGAATTATTAATAATAGAATATAAAATAATGTTAATTCCATTAATTAATTATCGAAAGTTTGAAAATGTTATAAATAAAATCTGATTAATTAGAAGTCCGTTCTGTGAATTGTTCTTCGAAATATTCTGAATATTCAGATTGTATATTAAATTATAAGAAAGTTGTTTGGATTATTGTGTTATTATTAACGATTCTAGATTTATTGGTTAATATCTGAAATTTAGTATACTTATCTATATTACTAGCTTTGATCAAATTTTAAAGTTGATCCATAAATTATCGTTAATCTCAAATAATCGATGTATATTAATATCAAAGTTGAATTTATTGTATATTGGTATTATTGATAATATAGTAAAGCATCTTTAATTAAGAAAAAGAGATTATTACGCTTAATTTTTTTCTCAAATTAATAGTAATAAAAAGATAAATCGAATTTTTTTTCATTTACTTTATATAATTATAATTTCCATTTAATTTGTAATTGCAATTTTCCAATATTCTTAAATTTTCAGAATTAAAAGTTTTTAAATCTTCGAGCTTCTCTTTTTAAATTTTCTAATCTTCGAGTCATCGAATGTCCTACTTTCAAAGTTTACAAACTTCAAGTTCTCGAAATTTTCTACCGATACAAGTAACGTAACGGAGAAACTTCGCAGAACTATATAAATAATAGTTTTAACAAAAAAAAAAAAAAAAAAAAAAAGAAAGAAAAAAATGATAAAATTAAAAATTTCAAATTTTCACACAACACAATTTTCTAGAAATAATCTCTCCAATGTTAATATAATAAAAACAATTTAACAATATTATTTTTTTCGTTTTCTCGTTATTCTATTTACTAAACAAATATATTGTGTTCCAAATATGGTATATTTAAAAAAAAAGTCTACATATGCGTTCCAAATAATTATTTTCCTAAATTAAAATTTTTTTTTCTAATTCAATTATCTGTTTATCAACTATTACTTTTTCCATACATTTTAATTGAACATCCTGTATAAAAACCAATCAAAAATTGAAAAAAAAAATTTTTTTTATTTTTCTAAAAACTTAACTACCAAATTTACCAATCTATAATAAGAAGTTAATAGATTTTTCGTATTATTTTACGTAACTTATTATAAATCGAAATAAAAAATCGGTTAATTAAAATCGGCACTAATTGATCGGATCGATGAAATCCGAAGTAGTTAAGGGACTTAAACTGTTAGGTAATTGAAGCGGAAAACCGATGATAGCGGTCGAATGGTCAGAACCTTTGTGCAATTTAACCGGTTAAATGCTAATACGACATTATTGGTCAGGAATGATCGTGACGATAGATGAAAGTCGTTAATTCGATTTAGAAGTAAATTCACGCGTTCATTGGTTGTCGCGTGTTAAATAGAGAAAATGGAAGTATCGTTCGAAAGAACAATGCCATAAAAAGGTATAAAAACTGGAGGAAAAAAGTAATTTTTCACGCGGAGATAACGAATTTTATTTGTTGAGTGCATAATTATAGTAATAAATGATTAATCTTTTTTTCAATATCATCAATTCTTTTATTTAGTCAAAAAAAAAAAATCTCTTTTTGACAGAAAAAGGAAAGCTTTTGATAACAAGATTAATACAATGACATAATTTTCTTCATTGTAGAAAATTATTTTCAAAATTATTGAAAAGATAGCGATTTTCAATTCGAAGATAACTACATTTATCAAATGAAATTTTACTACGAGTTCACGAATTTTATTATCAAATTTCGTATATTTATTAGATTACATTATACATATCTGTATAATCTAATAAATAAATAAATTTAAATAAAATAAAATAAAAATATCCCTAGTCTATATTTTTTGTGATATTAAACATCATTGTGATTGTTCCATAAGGGTGAGAAGGAATAAATTTCGACCCCTTTCTAGCCAAATCTATATTCATTTCAATAGCTATTGTGGTATTGGTGATTTGTTGCAGTGTGTATTACAAAAGGCCGGAAACTGGCGGTTTAATGCATTTACACTGGAAACGGTAACAGGAGGTAAGCAATTAAAATATGAAATAATGAAAAAGGAAAAGTTGCGAGGCGAATAGGTGAAAAAGTTTGAGATATTTTTTTAAATAAAGTTCGATTAAAAATTGAATCAGGTGGTAAAAAAAAAAAAAATGAAATAAATGTAAATTATAATTTGATTGGAAGATTTTCTAGGAAAAGGAGTTATGAAATAAAATGATAAATTAAACAAATTTTTATTGGATGATTGTAACGAATTAAATATATATTCTAAATGTAATAAACGATAAAAGAAATAAGATAGTTAATTAAAAATGATATATCAAAAATAGTCACATAAATTCTTTTCCCAGAAAGCTTTTCAATTTTAGTGGAACAAAAATTTTATTAGATTCGTTCAGTTTATTAAACTTCTTGCTTGATGAAAATTATATATTTTAATTGAATTTTGAAACAAAAAGGATTAATATGTTATCTCAAAATATTTAATTATAAATCAATAGAGATTCTGATGAATTCTTGATATTTAAATCCTTTCTCGATATTTTGAATGAAAAATGGATTGAAAAGCATATTTTATCCTGTTAATAAAAATTGCAAAGACCATGTTGACTAATGGATTTCGCGTTTGTAATGGAATTTACAATTACAAAATTCAAACGGAGTGATTCTCGTTCGAGAAATGCAAACTATTTAAGAAACTTCTGCGAGTAAAACGCGCGATGTAAATCAGTTTCGGCTAATGAAGATTTAAAATTCGATTTTCCCGATAGAAAGAAAGAAGGATAATAAAATAAATTAATTCTATAGCATCTCAATATTCGTTATTAGCATCTCAAAATAAATCTTTGACTGAAAAAAAGAAAAGGAAATCAATTTCTCTTTTTCTTTCTTCTTCTTTGTTTTTCTTTTTTTCTTTTCTTCTTTTTCATTTCTTTTCCTTTTCCGTTTTATAAAGAAATATTACTTTTTTAACGTGACATCCAACCGATTTGTCAATATAAGAAACGTGTGCAAAGAGTGACGAAACATAGTATTGGGGAAAAAGCGAGATTCGCACTGTGAATAAGAGTATTTCACTTTTCAAACCTCGAAATCCGTGGGAATCCATGCAATCCATCGAGATCCAATATTCACGCGCGGATTGATTTATTTTCCGCGTATCGAGGCCAACTGAGAGGAATCATATTTATAAGAGATAGTAATATTTATGAGAGAACGATTGAACATCTTCGATTGGCTCTGTTGACTTTGATACATCATCATTAATACATCGATACACTGCTTCGAAAAATTCATGCAGATAATACGGAATATCTGTGGATACCCGATTTGAATTTTAGAAAACGTCACTCGAGTTAACAGAGAAATTGGATAAAAATAAAAGTTAAGAAGATGGAAATCATTTTGAATGCGAGTCATAATATTTTGCCAATTATAATCTTATTTTTCTTCTTTTGTTTCTTGTCTTCTATTTTTCCTTTTTTTTTTTTTGTTTTTTTCCAATTTTATATTTTTTTCCTATCAGTTAGGATTTTTATTATCTATAAAAGCAATTTCGAATTATTATTATTTGAATAGCGAGATTTTAATTTGATGATATCTTGACTTACAACTTTGGATTCCATTCTCGTCGAATATCATGTTACATTTAATTTCCAGGACGTTCGCTGCCAGTATTGTGCGTCCATCTTTTTCATTGGTACGGTCTTCTACAATACTTCAATCTGGATGTGGTTACTGTATGGAAATTATTCGGTAAGAATCACAAATATTGATATAATTTTAAAATCAGTGAGTTTGACAAAATTCTCTGTGCACAAATTAATTTACTTCATATTCTAATGATATTTTCTTATCAATAATCAAATCGTAGATAATCAGATCATCGTAGATAATAGATCAATCATTGAAATTTTAATAAAATTATTCTTCTCAAAAACTGGAAAAATAATGCTTTAGACTCTAACAATAAACTTTCCTCCTTTCCTTCCTAAAGAAATATACCATAGCCTCTAATATATAAATAATATATAAATAATAGAAAAATTAAAAGTAAAATTAGAATTAGAAATAGAAAAATAGAAAAATAATATATACATATAAAAACATACTTATGATCATATATATGTATCTATGTATTTTTACATTTCATATTTTACGTATTTTTTCTTTTGTTTGACACCGCCACAAAATATTGTAGCATATTACATAGGGATTACATATATACTTTACTCAGCTCACTTGTAGAATCGAACAATCATTTCACAATCTTTTTTCTCTTTTTGTGATTTGCTAATGTATCCATTTCTTTGATACTATGTTTCCACAAACGGCAGAAGAATCCTTGTCTCTTACGGAATTAATGAACATTACTTTCTTTCTGCACGAAATTTTTACGTCATCGAGGTTGGAATACAGGTCGGAAGCTATTCGTCACCATTAAATATTCAAAAGGGGAGAGTCCCGTGAAGGGAAATGGCGACACCCCCCTTCACGCGTATATTCGTATTTATAGACTCGCACTTATTATTTATTTATTCTATATAAGATTTCCATACAAGGAAGATTTATATACAGGCATGTACGCCCAAAGATGTTGGAGGGAGGTTATGTGAATATTTTAAACCGAGTTTGATCGCGCATGCGCATAATTGAATAAAATAAACTTGGCTACATGTTAATAATTATTATGATTTCTTGTGGCGCGTACGTTGAAAGTTTGAAAGAAATATGAATAGTGATCGATTATATTATTTGTTTGGCATCAAAGCTTATTTTAATTTTGTGTTTGCTAAAAGTGAAAATTTAGAAACTATAATGGAAAAATTTTTGATTCTGTATACTAGCAAATACTTTCATCAAAACATGTATAGGTTATAATACGAATTACCGATTAGCATCTTTTTTAAGTTAGTTAGGATTTTATTAAAGATTATATTTTTTTTTTCATCTTATATATATATTATAATTAAAATCAAGAATAAAGTCAAGGATTCTATTGTTAAATATATTGAAATCTCTCAAAGAAAAATTACTAAAAAGATAATCACTTACGATGATATTTCGAAGATTCTTAAATCATCTATTGATTTTACAAAAAATAGTTTCAACAACTTTCAAAAACATACTTAGTTGGTTAAAAGCTTTTACAATCTTAATTACAATTGAAACACAATGTAATACATCGAAAATCTTTCACCGCAATTATTTCTATTAAGATTTTTAAAGCTTTCAAAATTTTTTTAAAATTAATTTTCCTCTATTAATATATTGTAACTTAATTAACAATAGTAATAGATAATTAGATAGATTAATACATAATAAATAATAATAGATTTTTTATTAAGAAAATATTAATGTATATAAAATATACAATATAAAATATCTATATATAAAACCATATATAATATTGAAATATTATGAACTATATGAACTATATCACTAAGTATTAAAATATTTGGAATATTAAAATACTAAAATAGTAAAATATAGAGAATATTTTGTATTTAGAATATTTTAGGTATTTTAATTTCGAAAAATTTCATTTAGAATATTTAAATATTAACTTTACTGATCAAAACTTTAAATAAAATAATGATAAGTCACATGATTTACAAGAAATTATAGATATGGCAAATATAGTTTAATCATAACCGATCTTCTTTCTAATTGCAGCCTTTATCGAGGAGGGTTATCACAGTACAAATCCTTACCACAACAGTATACACGCGACCGACGTGACTCAAGCGATGCATTGCTTCCTCCAAGAAGAAAAAGTGAGTATATATGATTTTATAATTGCGTATAGAGAATGAAGCGCAATGAAGTGTATAATGTTGTAAATTTACAGATCAGAACGCACTTAACCAACTTGGAGATTATGGCTTCGCTGATTGCCGCGGTGACGCACGATCTGGATCATCCGGGCGTCAATCAACCGTTTCTAGTTGCCACGAGCAACCACTTGGCAGCTCTCTATCAAGTGAGCAGACCAGATTTTCGACACGTTTAAATACGATAATCGAAAAATGATCCTTGATGATATATTGATTGCAGAACACATCGGTACTCGAGAATCATCACTGGAGGTCGGCGATAGGTTGCCTTCTTGAGAGTGGAGTTTCCGATCAGTTACCGGCACACGTGAGGCCAGAACTTCAACGACATATAAGTTCATTGATTTTGGCCACAGACATCACTAGGCAGCAAGAATTTCTCATTCGATTCAAAGTAATTTTTGAAACAATTTTGTTAATAACATTAATATTTATATTTCAATTTATAAATTTGTTTATTAAGATTGGATTTCGTTGTTAATAAGTTCATTTATTCTTCAGAAGAGAGTTAATGATGATGTGATGATGATGAAATAATTTATTTTGAATAGTTTATAGATGATATAATATATTTTATAAAGTATATGTATATATGTTATGCTTTTGAGAATGTAGAATAATAAATTAATGGTGATAATATTATTTTAATAATAAATTGCATAAAAATAATAAAAAATATTTATAAAATCTTTTCCGTTTCCAAAAAGATATCAAATCTTAAATCATTTTCCTTAATATTTATAAATTTATAAATATAAATTGTATAATATTAAAAGATAATCAAAATCTGTTATCATTAATCTTTTTTTTCTTTCATATTTCATCATTTTCTCTTTGCAGCACTATTTGGATGAGAATCTGTTGGAGATGAAACGTGCGGACGACCGGCATTTCATTCTACAAATAGCCCTGAAATGCGCTGATATATCGAACCCTTGCAGACCTTGGGACATTTCGCAGAAATGGTCGCACAAAGTATGTGAAGAATTCTTTCGACAAGGCGATTACGAACGACGTTTGAACCTTCCAGTGACACCATTATGTGATCGACATACCACTAGCATACCAAAGATACAGGCTGGATTCTTTAAATTTGTCGTGACGCCTTTATACGAGGAATGGCACCGTTTCCTAGGCGATGGTCTTAGTGTTTCACTAATGGAACACCTGCGAGCCAATCAAAAGAAATGGGAAACGTTAATTCTCCAAGAAACTGCAAAGGATATAGAAACGGAAATCTCGGAATTGGAAGAGACAGAATTGGAAGATGCCATCAGTACTGCAGAAGATCCAGCTGCCGAGGAGGATACAGAAAGTATTGATTTATTGATACCAGCTGCATATGTTCATTCCTCTAAAATGCAAAGTTTACCAGCGCGAATTGGTCTGGAACGCGTTGGAAGACGGCATTCCGTGCCATTAAGTATCACGAAACCTATGACACTTTTGCCACGAAGTAACGTGAGACGTGAAAGTCTACCGAGTGAACAAAGTAAATCGAGGAATCTTGTGTGGAAACTCGACGAACAAAATCTTTTAGATCCAAATTCATTGTCTTTATTGTCGTCCAAAACTAGTATAGAACTTTCTCCGAGCGGAAGTAATACAGGGGAAAGACCGGTCAGTGCTGAAAGTCTTTTGCCAGAACCTAGCATAGCTAGTATCACTAACAGTACTGAAGCGTCAAGATTAAGTACGGTATTGCAATCGGATGATCAAAAGTCAAATACGCAAACAAAACAATTAACAAGACAACAGACTTTCCCTCCATTGCAACCGTATATTAGAGTAAGATATCTATCCACGACCGCAGAGATGTCGCAATGTTATTCCCAAATATTATTAGAAGCAGATAGTGCATCAGCATCCTCTTCATGTTCGATGAAAGAAAAATCGTGTTCGGATGGTCATTGTGATATTTCTCCTACAAAGGAAATAGAGTCTAATAACATTATAATGTCGAAAGAAATAGATTTAAATAAGAGACGAAGCTCCTTAATTCCGGAGACGTTTAGACAAAAAACAGAACCAGTTGTTGAATATCCACGCCGTCACTCGGTTCAAACGATTCGTATCGAAGATGTCAACTTTAAAAATCGTTATAAGCGACCGACGTCTGCTCAAGGAACAGATTTCACACAAGTTTTTTACACATCGTTGACCAATTCACGTACCGATAAAGAGAGAGGTATTGAAGAGGAATCCAAATTGAGCGATATTTCCATCTCGAAGATAAAATTGGAAAGTGAAAGATCGATAAACGAACAACGGACTACTATGGTAACATTAAATAAGTCTGAACAGTGTGGTTCGATAGCGATTATTGCAAAATCGAAGTGCACCAACTCCGAATTACGAAGATACTCAACTCCTGTGCCAGAAACTAAGACAATAATGACTGATGCTGGTGGTAGACGATTTACCGCGATACCAGTGTCATCCGAACTTAGCACGCATAAAGTGTTCTTCATCGGTAGCCCACCAGACTCACCACCCCTTGTTCAAAGCGTATCTACGTCAAGTGAAAGTGGTAACGATTTACGAAAAGGAGATATGAATAACGAAATTGTTTCTACTTGTAACAAACGAGATTCAGATCCTGCGAAAGAAAGGAGTTCGAAAGTAGCCAAATTAAGTCTGGATATGCAAATGAAGGAGAACGTCGATCCACGAGCAGTAGAAGATACAAAAGGAATTGCTTTATCCAGAAAGGGAAGTCAGGTAAAATTTCTTAATATATTTAATTAATATAATATTCTTCACAAATATAGAATATTTATATATATATATATATTAATTATAATAACAGAATGTTATCAACTTATCAATATTATCAATATAAATAAGAAAATAATTGTAACTTAAGGACAATATTGTTTATTTAAATTATTTTATTCCATATATCAATTATAATTAAAATACTCTTTATATTATTTAGTCATGGACTAGACGACGTGGATCTGCTCCAGTTGGTCTTTTATCTAGATTGGATGATATCACAGTACCATCTATAACAACTAGAATTGATCACACTTCCAGACGCGGTTCCGTACCAAATGACATTACTAGACAACAAAGTAAAAGAATATAATAAATAACAGTACTAAATCTTCAGAAGCTATAACTCATATTATAATAATATTTTCAGATGGTGGTTTTAATAGATTAGCATTAGGACCTCGAGAGGGTAATGTTGCAGCACCTCGAAGAGCAAGTCTTCCACAAGAAACTGCTCTTGGAAATCTTCTTGGCAATATTTTGTCTTTAACCAGTATGTATATTTCTTATATGGCGAGTAACATGTTTTTGCTCGAAGTTTGTTACGATTAATTGCATGTTTTTAGATGAACGAGAGAATCTCCCAATAAATAATAACAATAATAATAACAATACTGGAAGTAGCAACAATAACGGAATAACAAGAATAATTGATAGCACTGGCCCTGGCATGCCGTCGCCGCGGCGAGGTTCTGTGCCGGCAGATATATCTGAATTACGTCGTGATATGTTCAATAGGAGTAGCATAAACGGTAAGCCTCGTAATCGGAAAAAAATATTGAAGAGAAGGAGTTCTGGAGGACCAGAAATGTTTTCTGGAGGATCCACAGATGGAAACGATAATGGCACATGGCTTAAATGGAAGAAAGAACTAGGAAAAAAGGATTCAATTCCTGAACCACTCGTCAAGCGAAGAGGTTCCCTGCCCATAGAGATGGTGGCCATTTCTCATGCTGGTCGGTACAATCATAGATAAAGGAGGATGTCATTAAACACAAGCCGGTACCATTGCGTTCTCCATTAATATTTTTACGAGAAATTGAAATTTCTAGAATTTTTATAAATTAAACATTTGAATTCGTTACCAGCATTTTAATAGAAATTCTAGCAATTGATGACATAAGGTGTAAATATCAGCTTTCTGAAGCCGTATGTTTAAAATTTATTTTATATAGAAGTAGGAAATTGAAATTGTTCGATTAGATCTAATGCAATCATTATATATATGCATGACAGGATCAGGATCAGGAATACGAAGATCCAGCTTATGGAGACTTTAGCATGCAGTAGAAACAAATGGACCGTCCGTGTTATCAGCGGTTGACATTAGATCATCGAATACTACCGTACTGGCAGTCTTTCCTTACAACGTTAACAGCAACAGCGATGATTGACTTCCATTTCTGGTTTAAACTGGAACATTGCAAAACTGGAACTCTTCTAACCAACTATAATTGTGGGCAAGTGAATTTTGTAAAATTAATCGAGATTTCTATAATAATATTTGCAATAAAAAACAAAGAAAAATGTTCGCAGCGATTTATTCAATGATCGCTAGTAATAATTTTATTGCCGCAAATATTACATATATTAACGCCTATAATAAACAAAGTAAAAAATCTATTCTAACACAAATGGATATACTTATGTATATCTTTGAATAATGAAAAGAATACAAATTCAAGATTGGCGAATTGTAATATAAAATTTTGCGACAGGGTTAAATAATTGCGAAAGAAGAATGAAAAAATTATTCTTCTTCGTCATATGTTTGTGTGGAATTAGTAAAACAAAGTATTTACACATATTAGTTATGTGAGTTCTATATCCATTTGTGCCATACACAAATGTTGTTGAAAACGAGATACAGTCAAACACAGGGTTCAATATGACGATTTTAATAATTAAAATGCCTAGGTTCGGAGAAGGAAAAAAGACTGGTAGACTCACCACTATAAAATTAGACACTTTAAAAGTGGCACATATATTGATTGAAATGTAATGAAATTTGCTCATAGTTAAGGAAATTAACATTTTTGAAAATAATTGGAACAAAATGACATTTATTTTTATTTAGTTAATCATTTTTAGCATATGTCATCCCATTAAATATTAAATACATTTTTGCACCTATCTCAAAATATAATTTTTTATTTTTTGTTAATGATATTTCTTAATTAATGATAAAACACAAAAGAAATTGAATTTATTATTAAATCATAATAATAAAGACATTTATTGTTAAAATCCAATAAGAGAAAGTAATGGTTATTGATAAAAATAAATATATACTCAATATCAGATATAGTTTTCTTTGAACTCTAACAAAAATCAACATAGACATTCCATTAAAACAGATAGCGTGCAGTGCATAACATGAATGAAAATTAATCATGATAAAGTTGTAATTATCGCTATTTATCATCATTCATTATACTATCATAATCATAATTATCACTATTGTCATCATCGTTGTTGTTATAGTTATAAATGAAATCTTAATGACCGTTCAAATAGATAGATATTGTAAACTTAGGAAATAATAATATATGCGTTTAATCTCAAGTTAATTAGTTAGTGAATTGCGTGAAATTATAACTATGATTGTTTATTACCAATGAAAACTAAAGATGGTTATGATGAGTAGGTTTACGGTACGTGAACCGAGAAAAATCAAAAGCCACAAAATTCGTTCATATTACATCTTAGAATATTAATTCAGTAAAAAGCGTTTAATTAATAAGTTTTAGTTTTATAAAGTACAATTATTAAACTGCCTGTGCACAAACGGATTCAACCGTTAATTTGTTTTATTATAAAACTTCTGTTACTATAAGATTATTATATAAAACGTAATCCTAAATAGCGTTTTAAATTATGTTTTTTAGAGAATAAGAAAAATAATAATTTATATCACGTACTGTTATAACCTATCGTCCCTCTAACTATCAGAAAGTAAAAAATTATTATTAAGCCATTGCAGTTCAATAATAATATATACTGAATCTAAGTTTATAACTAATCAAAGTAATAATTGATATCTGTATTGATGTAATATAAATAGGTCACATCCCAAGCAAAATATTACAAAGCTTAGCAAATTTTCCCTGATAAAATCCAGATCTTCTCAGTGCAGGAACTCAGAGCTTTATGTGTATTTCACTTAAAATGACCAGAAAACAAAGGTGAAACAAAAAATCGCCTTAAATAGATTTCAAATCTTTAAACATGAAACATGAAAATGATTCTTAAGTTTTCCTATTTGTAATTATGCAGAAGTATTGCATAAATGACTTGTTGTATAAGTGTATTGACAATTAAGTTAGCATAAAACTACTAGTCTTTCTAACTCTTAATATAATTTGTATATAAATATGAAATATATATATATATATATATATATATATATATTATTTGACAAAAAAAATGCACAGAAAACGCCAAGGAACAACACATTGATAATAGATATTGAAAAATTTCAGTGAAAAATTTATTTATTTATACTTCTTGAAATACTTAACTTTACAGACAGACCAATACAAATGGGACTAAACAAAATCTCTTTGTGAAAATGATAATTAACCTAGCTTCTGAATTAAATTTGAATTCAATATTATACATGACCACTCTGTCCAACTACTTTTTGAAAAATTTTGGCACCTAGATATACATGTTCCCTATAACAATACAAAATATGCCTCATTCCAATAGAGAATTATTGATGTTATTCAAAAATTCTCTTCTGCCATCCTTTAGATACTGTGTATTTATATTACACTGTTTTCTAAGATTATATCCCGGGATGTGCAAAATTAATATAAAATTATTTATTTATTATTATTTTATAAGAATGGATGTAGTAGAATGATATGAGATACAATGCATCAAGCAATGTTTATGCTCATATAAATATTAATTTTTTTAAGCTAAAATATTATGCTGTTAAATCATTATGAATTTTTAAGCTATTGCTGAAATTTTTTTTTCAATTTTTATACTGTCATTTTATTTACAACGAAGTATCAGTAAAAAAATTCTAAATATTCAAAAATAATCATTTTTTGTTTAAATTATTAATTATATTAATAAAAATTTGAAATTATATTAATATTATATTTATATTAAATATAATTTTTTGCAATTTATTTATAATCTTTTAAATTATAAATTTTTAAATCCTAAATTACTATAATTTTTATTATTAAAAAATGTTAATATTTACGCACATTTTGATATCTAATAAAAATCAAATTATTTATATTTTTTTTATTATTATTTTTCTCAAATATATATATATATAACACAAAATTATAAATAATTTTTTATTTATATTCTATTCACAATAACAAACTATAATAAAATGACAATTAATTGTCTTAAAATTAATATTTTAAAATATTTATAGGATAAATAATTAACAAATGTATGAGTGACATGGAAACGCTTGTTCATAAATTTAATAAAATAATTAAATAAATCAGGTCTTTCCCTTTAAAGTAAAAAGTGAATACCATAGAGTGAATTGTATCGTTTTTTTTAACTCTTTTTTTTTTTTATTGAAAATATTGAATTTTATAATTATCAGCAAAATTTTGCGTGCAATTCGCAGTATTGGAAATGTCAATTAACAAGTAACAATTTGTATGTAATCGGTCTGATGATAAGAAAGTCATTATGTATTTTCTATAATATTACCGGTAAATAGCTACTGCGTTAGATACAATTAAATAATGTGTTCTTATCATTCGTAATTAAATTATATAATGTTGTGTGTGTTAATAATAAATATAAAATGCGAAATAGTATGAATTGAATATATGCATATGTGATTGCGATAAGAATGTGAGTGTAGTTCAATTTATTGTCCTATTTATGATGGGCAGTGTGAGAAAAAGTTAATATATATGTATATGTATGTGATGGCTCTACATGGCCTATTATATTATTAGATCGAAATTACTATAGTGGATAATTATAATACCCAAATTTTCTATAATTTTGATTTGGTTATATTGATTATTTATTTCATGAATGTACATAAAATTTTATCTGTTATACAGGAAATCTCCATTATAAGTTTAAAATTGAATGATACGTGATACGATATGTAAATCCATCTTCTTTATTAAAAAAAACACAAAAATTATATGAGTATATTTTTTGCTATATATTTATCAATATTTTTTTAATTTATTTCCACTAAAATTGATCATTTGATTTATTAATACTTTCATTAAAATTTTTGATTAATTTAATTTCATATTAAAATAAGATTTTATGTAAAATTCCGAAAATTTAATTATGTTGATTTGAATATTGGCGCGTTGCATACTACCGACAGAGATACCAACTGTAAATACAACACAAACGTTGCGTCATATTGCGCACTGGTTCCGAGTCGTGTGTCGCGAATCTCGTTTTCGAAAGAGCACGCACACACATGCCGCGTTGTGAAATCAAACTATCGGCCCGGGAAACAAGAGTGCATAAATCACAAACGACAATTCTTAGTGTTCGTCAGATGCAATCTGTTTTGGCGCGTGTGATTGCGTACGTTTCGTGTGACTGTCGATTCACGTATCTGTGCGCGCTCGGTAGGTCAAAATGGCGTGAACCGACTGTGCGATTTTAGGTTATCTTTGCTCGTGGCAAATCACCGCGCGTTCAGAAACAAAGACGCGCGTCTATCCCCTAGTGGCATCCTTTTTTTTAAGTGCTCACCGCGATCCTCCACGTGCGTTTTTGGGTCCGAGTTACATGAGTTATGAAGACGGAATGCCCGCAGGCGGTAACAGTCGTTTCCGCGGTTACCCAGCGCGGATGTCCGAGCGACAACAGCTCGCGCTTCTTCTTCAAATGACCTCTCAGGAAATAGTTTCAGGTAAAAAGAACGAATTCCATTTAAAACAAACTCACGCACATTTCATAGACTTCTTTAAAAGATGTAATCAACGATCAAACAATCATATTATCGCATTCTTTTATAATGAATATTTTAATATCATCGAATCGAATAATTAATTTATCTGTATTTGCACAGATGTATGATATTGATCATAAAATTCACTATAACATAATTTCACGTTATATTATATCGAAAAATGTATTTGACAGTTAAATTTTTTGATCGAAGAACTATGTGTTTATTTATTTTCTTATATCCGAACAAATAACACTCACACGAACTACGCAATATATATGCTTTTCGATAAACACTTAATTTTCTGCTGTATATATTCATTTTATGGAAATAAACTACAATGCAAAATCGAAGCTAGTTACTTCGCGGGAACGAGTTTTGCCCGCCTGTACTTTCCATTCAGGTTTACCAACTACATAACTTTGTACTCAATTCGACCCCGCGGTTATACTACGAATAGCGCCACCCAACTTTGACAAAGAAAAAAGAAAGGTTATGTAAATGTAGTAATTGACGTGCGCTCGAATTCCCGCCATGAGAAAATTGGTCTGACAGTGGCACCGATTGTCGGTAACTTGAAACTACGATTTACACTAGGAGGCGTTAATACCATTGTATATATTCATATAATATAAAATTTACATTTATATTTTTATATCATTTATATGTACATATTGAAAAATGTACATATTGAAAAATTATTATTCATAATTTTTTATATAATAGACAAATATAAGCACATATAATTATATTATATTTAACTTTATAAAGAATTCAATGTTTATACCTATATTATGAATTTTTTGATGAATATCAATATATCAATATATATGTATTAGCAATTTAAGCAATTTAATAAATAATTAATATGTGGAAGATCTAATCAATTCATTTGTTTTTAGGTGGTAATCGAACAGAAAATACAAATACATCAAATACTACTTCAAGGTCATCAAGTTTACAACAACGAGGATCAAAAGGTCGCTGGACTAGTAAAAATGGGGAATCGGCAGTCCAGGCATCTATTAATCGTAAAGAAGATTTTCGAATGCGACAAATGCTCGTGAATGGATACGATCTCAATACAAAGGAAACAAATGGTAAGTACCCATAATTCTTGTCATTTTTTATCGTAAGATTTTTATTTTATAAAACAATGCATAAAACAAATTATTTTATATTACAAGCTTAGCTTATTCGAATTATACTTTAATTATTCGCGTAAATGACACAGATAATTATATTTTAATTAAATGTTTTATAAGGTAAAATTTAAAATATCAAAACAATTTAATTCTCAATAATCAAAATTCAAGCCAAACATATTGAATATAAGTCATTGAATGAATGAAATATTTTTTGATTATTATTATTAGAATAACGAAATATTATCTGTATTGTGCAAAATAAATTACTTTTAATTCATACTTAAATTTTTCATCAATTTTATTCGATACTTTTATTTGAATTTTTTATTTATATAATATATTTCGCATATATTCATTTTTGTTAGTCCACTTTAATATTAAAATCTAAATTCAACCTTTTTTTTTTTCGCTATTAATAATTTTGAATATAAATCTATAAATTATCATAAGAATTCTATTTTTTACTTCTAAAATCATTCTTAATAAATGATAACTATAGTGATAATAATTCTTTATATATGTATATATTCTTCAACTTATATATAGATAATTAAAATATGATAAAAATTAGAAAGTTTTTTTTTAAATATTATGGAGTCGATCACCCCTACTCATTCTTCTATATAGTATAGAGATTCTCGTCGATAAATGAAAGCGACGGTGCACGACCTTCCTAAACGCAGGAAGTCAGCGGGTCCGGGTTCATTCATATACAATCCACCTTCGTTGCTCGACTACCCTTTCTCTATCCCGTTTCATCTCATTACCCTTAAAGGTCGAAGAAATATGTGAAACGGTTAATAAATTTTTTATTTTTAATTTTTTTTAAATTAATTTAATTTTGAATTACAATAAGTGTGAAATTTCACTACTTATTTTAATATTTATTTATTGATTATGTATGAAATGTATTAAATTTCTTATTATTTAAAAATATATATTTATGTAATTACGAAAGTTTAATATTATGGAAATAAAATAGAAAAAGAGAAGAAAATATACAGAATTTAATTAAAAATCGTATTACTGAAAAATGTAATATTTTGTAATAATTACATTATATGGAAGTGAAAAACGTTGTAGAATTTCATTAAAAATATTTTGTTATTCATGAAAATTAAAAATTGATGTATTTTAATAAAAAATTATAAAGAAAAAGGAAAAAAGAGATAAAAAGAATTTTAAAAATTAAAAAATTTAATATAAATTGTTTTCCATTCCTTGGAAATAAAAATGAAATATTTCAATATATTAGAAATATAAAATGAATAAAAAGAAACTTTATTAGCATTCTTTTAATTTTATGAATTACAATTTTTTTATATAAATGAACAATATTTCTTACATGCAAAATTTAAATAAAAACTTTCTCCGTAAAAATATTTTTCGTAAAATATTATATTTTTTAATGGAAGATAAAAATGTTAACGAGAGAAAATTAAGGGGAAAAGTGAAAACAAAAACGTAATTATGTCATAAAAGATCCGAATAAACTTTTGCTGTATTTATTCACCTCTTAAAAAAGATGAAAAAATAAAAAAATAAAAATTAATCT